TCCTTGCCATCTGGCTGCAGAGAGTGCTTTTTTTTTTTTTAACTGTTTGATTCTATTTATATAACATTCTAGAATATGCAAACTAATCTGTAATAACAGAAAGAAAGTCAGAAGTTGACTGGGGATAGGGGTAGAGGAAGGATTGGAAGCATGGATTGGAAAGGGTCACAAGGAAACTTGGGGGTGTTAGAAATGCTTGTCATCTGATTGTAGGGATGTTTTCTCTGGAGTACCTTTTAAAAAATGTAAATAAGGAGAGAAAATGAAAAGAAATCACCAGGTCCATAAGTGAACCCACCACATCAATAACTCCAGAAGTAATTAAAACATTTCAGTGCATAAAGAAAGAAGAAAACCTTCCCAGTTTCTTTTATGAAACCAGCCTGGTTTTGATACCAAGAGCCACTTGTGCAGGTATTAACTCTGGAAATCAGCTGCCCTGTGTATGACCTGGTTTCGAGATTATTTTTTGTTTTTTTTCTTTTAGAAGTTTAATTGCAGTTTGCCTTCATATGATTTCTCTGGGCATGTAAGTGAGCTTTCCTTTACTGTGACAACATACTTAAGATAAACGTAAGGAGGAAAAGTTTATTTTGACTCATAGTTTTATAGGTTCCAGTTTGTGATCTGGTGGCCCTGTGGTGAGGCTGCACATCGTAGTGGCCAGCGGGGCAGGGCCCATATCCTCTTCAAGGCCACGCCCCCAATGACCTAACCTCCTCCCTGTAGGCCCCACCTACTAAAAGTTCCTCCAATTTTTAGCAGCCCCTGAGCTGGAGACCAAGACTTTATTTAACACATGAGTCTTTGGGGGACGTTCCAGATCCAGACTGTAACACTGGGCTTATTCTGCTTGGGAATTTAGCAACCAGGTAAGAGAGCCCAGCAAGAAGGAAGAGGAGGCAGGTTAGCCTCCGAGGCTGATGCCAATGAGAAGGCTTTCATGTGCAGGACCCAGAGCCTGGTCTCCTGACACCCTCCTAGCACGTCCCTGCCACCCAGGCCCATGTGTGTGTGTCTTTATCCTCGTCCCCTTCTCTCTGCGCCCCTCTCTCTCTGCCCCTCCACCTCTGTCTTTGCTGTGGTGCTGGGAATGGAACCGGGCCTCACCCCTGATGGGCAAGTGCTCTGCCACTCTGCTACCCACCCCCTCTCCTCATCAGCTCTTGCTTTTTCTCTGGAAACCTCCAGCAGTCTGGGACTGCTTTTCACCCCCGTCCCTGTGCCCTCTCCAAGAGGCAAATATTTTACACCTTGGTTCAGAACTGAGCCGCAGCTTCGCAAAGCAATGTTTGTTCTCTGTGCCACGGGCTCTGGGCGATCTCCCGCTTCTCCCCCGCTCTCCACGCCAGCCCTCCTGCTCCCTTCCACTCCACTGGATCGGACCCTCTCTGTATCTCGCCCACTTCTGCTAGACGTGGCCTGGGACCGTGTTGTCCTGTGGCGTCAGTTTGCTCCTTCGAGTGTGTGCATACACCCCAACTTATCTATCCATTCTTGTCGATGGGCTCGCAGTTGGTTCTCAGTTTTGGGCATTGTAAATAGTCCTGCTGCAAACAAGACACATAGGAACAACCGTGTGCCAAGAGGTGAGCCCAGGGACGTGTAGGTTTTTCATGTTTCCCACCCTGATGCACCAGTTTCCATTTTTCCACATCGATCTTTCTCACCGCAGCCTTTCTGGTGTGGTGTGGTGATATCCTGTGGTGGTTTCACTTTTATTTCCCTGATGACAGATGAAGTGGAGCACCTTTTCATGTGTTCCTACCATTTGGATGTCCAATTTTGCAATTTCTTTTTCAATTCTTTACTATGTTTTTCTATTAGATAGTATACCTTATTGATTTGAAGGTTATCTTTATATATTATAGATCCAATAACTTTGTTGAATATTTGTTTGTAAATAGCTTCTCCCCCTCCTACTGTCTTCATGGTGCATTTAAACAAAAAGACATTTTAATTTTATTGTAGTTCAACATATCCATTCGGGCTCTGTAATGAATGCAGTTTTTTTTTTTTTTTTTTTTTTTTTTTGCTGGGGAGGAGGGGGCTGCAGTAACCAAGGGTTGAACTCAAGGGCACTTGACCACTGAGCCATATCCCCAACCCTATTTTGTATTTTATTTACAGACAGGGTCTCACTGAGTTGCTTAGTGCCTTTTGCTGAGGCCGGCTTTGATCCTCCTGCCTCAGCCTCCTGAGCCACTGGCATTACAGGCATGTGTCACTGTGCCCAGCTCATAGTGAATATTTTATGTGCTAAAGACCCCTTTGCCTGCTCCAAGATGACAAACTCATTTGATGTTTTTCTCTAAAGTCTGTTGTTTGATCTTTCAGATTTAGATCTGTAGTCCATTGACCGTTTATTTCTGTGTGTGGTGTGAGGTAGGGGTCGATATCAACTCTGCTTTCTAAAGAGACATTGATTGGCCCAGAACTGTATTAAAAAGACCCTTTTCCCACCACTGTGCTGAAGTGAACCTGTGCTGGTTTAAGAGAACATGCGATTGATACAGTCGCTCTCTGGCTGGTCCCCTCCCGTAGCCTCATTCTCGCTTTGCTGGCTCTGACTGAGCCCGTCACCTCCAGCACCCTTCCCAGCTCTCCACTCCTGCTCACCTCACTGCAGCCTCCTGTTGTGTCTCCAAATCAAACACAAAGCGACCACATGTCTTAACTAAGCGGGAGTCTGACTTTCTCCTACAATAGGAGATCTGGAAGAAGGTAGTTCAGCAGCACTAGGTCGGTGGGATTCTCAGGGTTGTGCCTTTTGTTGCAAGGTAGCTGCTGCAGCTGCAGCCATCACACCTTGAATTTAGAGCCAGAGGCAGGAGGGAAAAAAAAGCAATGCCTGTTCCTCCCTAGACATCTCAGGAGTCTTACTGAGATCTCATTGATCAGACAGTAGTCAGGGGCTACCCAAGCTGCCAGAGAGACTAGGAAACTGTTGGCCAGGGACATTGACACCCAGAACCCAACTGGAGTAAGGAGAGGTGGAGTGAGTTGGTGGGGGGCCACAGAGTCCGCATGTGGGGTCCTTGGATGTCAGCAGATGACTGACCTGGATGAGGCTGAGATTTGGGAGGTGGAGCTCTACTGAGAGGGAGGAGGGATGGGGGTGTGGGGACTAATTTTATAAGTGGGGACTAATTGAATCATGATGTTAGGTCATTAGAGTAATATTTGTTCTATGACCCTGGCTTCCCTGGAGCTGAGTGTGGAGATTGAGGCCACAGGACTCCCGACGTGGGCATTTTGTATGTATGTGTCGGGGGTTCTTAATGGCAGAGTCCCAGAAGTGGCTTGAGATGTCACAAAGGGTACATATTTGAGATGTTAATAAATACTGCTCATTTCCCTCCAAAATGACTACACTGATTTGTACCCACACCCCAGGAACTAAAAAGGCACCTTAAGCAATTCTGATAGTTGTCACTCTGGTCAGTGAAAATAAGTGTTTTTAAAATTTTAATCCTTTCCTTTCTCCATTTCTTCCTTTTGAGGAGGTTGAGCGTCTTTTTTGGTGATCTTTTACTATTTATTTCATCTTCCATGAACTGCCTGTTCTTTTCCTTTCTAAGTTCTTTGCTGCTGTTGTTCATTCGTTTGGTTTTTTTGGTATTGAGGGTTGAACCCAGGTGTGCTTTATCACAGAGCCACATCCTCAGCCCTTTTTAAAATTTTTTATTTTGAGACAGGAGCTCTCTAAGTTTCTCAGGACCTTGCTAAGTTGCTGAGGCTGCCTTTGAAATTGTGATCCTCCTGCCTCAGCCTCCTGAGCCACTGAGGTCAAAGGTGTGTGCCACCAAACCCAGTTCTTTTAGAAATTCTTATTGATGCTTGGGAGCTATTCATATATTGTGGCTTTTTTCACCTTAAAGTACTTTGTTGTATACATTGCCAATATTGACTCTGAGGGTTTTTTTTTTTTTATGTCCTTTAACTCTGATTTTTGGGGGGCAGGGGGAGGGGGGCGGGTACTGGGGATTGAACTCAGGAGCACTCAACCACTGAGCCACATCCCCAGCCCTATTTTGTATTTTATTTAGAGACAGGGTCTCACTGAGTTGCTTAGCGCCTCGCTTTCGAGTGGCTGGCTTTGAACTCAAAATTCTCTGTCTCAGCCTTTTGAGCCACTGGGATTACAGGCATGTGCCACCATGTCCCGCTTGATTTTTTATTTTAAATCATCATGTTGCCTGGACATGGTGGCACATGCTTCTAATCTGAGCAACTTGGGAGGCTGAGGAAGGAGGGCTGTAAATTCAAGGTCAACCTGGGAAACTTAGCAAGACCTTATCTCAAGGGGAAAAAAAAAATTCAAAGGGGTAGGGATGTAGCTTAGTCATGGAGTGTTCCTGGGCCCAATCCCCAGTACTAAAAAAGAAAAAAAAAGTTGAACTGTGTGGTCACATCTATCCTTGTTTTACTCTGGCCTCTAAAATTTCAGTCATGCTTAAAAGAACCTTTCCCATATCAGGATTTTATCTATGTAAAATTGCATATTCACAGTTTAATACAGAACCCAAAGAATAAAATACATATTTCGAGTTAATGAATAAATTTTTGCAAATATCACACTGTACAAGTTGCTTTGTAACCTGTTTCTTTGCTCTTACTGGACACCAAATGTCTTTTTTTTGTGTCGTTAAGTATATGTGAAACATCATTAAGTTTTGTTTTAGCAGCAGCACTTTTAATGGCTGTTTAGTATTTCATTTTTATAGTAGTGTGCTAATCTTTTTCCTACTGTCTTGTCAGCTGTTTATATATTGAAAATATTGACCACTATGGTGAATACATTCAAAATGTGCTTTCCTTTTAAGTTTTTGTTTTTCTGTGCTTTGTGGTGTTATTTTCATTCAGAAACTTTAAACGGATTTTAAGCATTTTAGACTTACAATCTCTTCCTTCATCTAATATGACTCTGGTGGGGCTCCAGGTGGGGCTTCTGGGGCCAGCTTGTTGGTGACTGTCTCTGTACACCCTGTCCCTGCCAGGCCTTGGAGACCCGGGCCAGCCCTGGCCACACCCCAGGCTGTGTCACCTTTGTCCTGAACGACCTCAGCATGGCCTTCACTGGAGATGCCCTGCTGATCCGTGGATGTGGGCGGACAGACTTCCAGCAAGGTGACCCGCTCCTTATCCAGCCCAAGATTCAAATATGGTTATATATTTGCCAGGGTTTTATGCATTAGCTACAGGAATGAATGAATGGACCTTAGATTTTTAGGGGGCCAGTTTTACATTCAGAATTTAGTTGCCAGAGTATCCACTTAGGGCATTAGCTATTGGAGGACCATTAATTCCAGGGGTACATTAGTTATCTATTGCTGTGAAACAAATTACTGCAAAATGTAACAATGATTAGACAGGCATAGTAGCACATTTCTATAATCTTAGCCACTCTGAAGGCTGAGACAGGAGGATTGCAAGTTCAAGGTCTGCCTTGGCAATTTAGCATGACCCTGTCTCAAAATAAAAAATTTTAAAAAATTTTAATAAAAGCTGGAGATATAATAGAGTGGAAAAGTACCCCTGGGTTCAATCCCCAGTATAAAATAATAATAAAAATAATAATAATAGTAGTAGTAGTAGTATTAACATTCACTGTCCCACAAAGTTTCTGAGAGTCAAGAGTCCAGGAGCAGTTTAGGGTGTGGGCTGTACTCATCAGAAGGCTGGATGGGTCTGGGGACCCACTTCTGGGGTGGCTTCCTCCCATGGCTGCCAGTTCCTGTGCTTGTTGGCAGAGGCCTCCCTTCCTCACCTGGTGGACTGCTCCAGAGGGCTGCATGAGTGTCCTTATGACATGGCAGCCAGATCCTCCCAGAAAAAAAATGACCAGAGAGAAAGAGAAGCCCTAATTTTTTCTTTGATCTTGCCTCAGAAATTATACTCTGTCATTTTTGCAATATTCTATTTATTAGGAGCAAAATATGTAATCCAGACCCTTAGATCAAGGGGAGGGAAATGAAGTGTCACGTTTCAATAAGAAGATTCAAGAATTTACGAAGGTGTTCGAAAACCACATCAAGGGCCTTAGCTGCTGGTGGGTGTGGTGGGGTGGAGTTGTGCTCAGGAGATCAGCTGCTCAGAGGCCACTAGGAGGTTGTTTGGTCCCTGGTTCAGCTGTGAGAAGGTTCTGCAGCTTCGGGGTGTAGCTGCAGAGGATGGTTTGATTCGGGGGTTTCCCTGTGGGAAGACAGTTTAGTTTTGGATCTCAGGATCTGGCTGCCCGTTGAGCATGTGCACGAATGTGGCTTGACACTAGATTGGAGGAGTAGTCTGTCTTGTGGGCAGAGGCAAGACCACGTGAGAGAAATGGCGGCAGCTGTCACACACTGGCAACGAGAAGCCAGGTCCCGGCCCCCTCTCCCTCTCTATGTCTTCATTTCAGTCTGTGGTCATCTCTCTCGGACTCCTAATTTGCTTCTTATCCATTCCCAACACAACATAAAAATGGGAGAATTTAGGTTGAAATGGAAGGCAAAAGAATGTTCCAGAGAGGTTTGCCTCTGTCCCAGTCGAGGCTCACCTTCCTGTTGGAACCACTGTTCCATATGCTGCTTGGCCTCATGTCTTTGGTTTATTACCTTCTAGTCCAACTTCTTTGCCCAGAATCCTTCCTCAGTGTCCCCAGATTAAGGACACATTTCCTGGGGGGCTTCAGAATCTCTCTTCCCACCCTTACAATCCCACATTATAAAGGCAAATTTCTCACCATTCATTTTTCTTCATGTATGTCCTTCCCTCTGCCTCTACCTAGACAAAGGGGTTTGGGCAGGAGATGAGGGCGATGGCTTAGCTACTCTGATTATCCTCCCACCCTTTTCCTGAGGGAAGGTATTTTAGGGCTTCTCCTGTCCTGCTCACCCACTGACCTCTGACCTTTCCTTCCCCAGGCTGTGCTAAGACCTTGTACCACTCAGTCCACAAAAAGATCTTCACACTTCCAGGCAACTGTCTGGTCTACCCTGCTCATGATTACCATGGTGAGGGCTCGCTGGAGGGGGTGGGGGCTTACCTAACTTTTGAGGGGATAGCCAGCTTCTGTATTCTTTGTATGGCACAGAGACTACACACATTCCATAAATTCCTCTGGCCAAAAAAGACTAAGTGCTTGGGTGTGCCGTGTGTGGATATAGAAACTAGACAACTTCTAGAATTCTGCAGGGCGTGGGTTTTCCTGGGACTTCCTTGTGGAGTGCAGAGGACTGTTGGGAAACTACATTTCCCATAATGCGCATCGGGAGGGAAAGCAATCTCAGAATATTTTGGGAAGAGCCCATTAGTGCCTGGCTAGAGAGGCACCCAAAGACCTCCTGGGAATTGTAGTTCCTAGTGGCCCAAAGTGCTGGACCAGTTGACTTCCCTCTCCCTACCCCCCACCTTGGTCACTAGGACACACAGTGTCCACCGTGGAGGAGGAGCGGACTCTGAACCCTCGGCTCACTCTCAGTTGCGAGGAGTTTGTTAAGGTCATGGACAATCTGAACTTGCCTAAACCACAGCAGATAGGTGAGCACCCTGGGTCCTGGTGGGAGGAGGATTGGGGTGTGGACTCCTGGGTCTGAGGGAGGAGGGCTAGGGCCAGAACTCTAGTTCCCTAAGAAGGGCTCAGTGTACCTGGGTCCTTGGAGGGACATGGGCTTCTGCCTCGCCCCTTGGTTTCATCCAGTTTCTTTTCAGACATTGCTGTTCCAGCCAACATGCGCTGCGGGGTCCAGACGCCACCTTCCTAACCTGTTTCTGTCAGGTGCTTATGTCCGTCAAGAATGCACTCAGTGGAGCGAGGGGAGAGGGGTCACCACTAGACCTCTGTCCCCTCCCACCCTACCCCCATCAGCCCCTCGAACTTCTTAAATAAAAAGTATTTTTTTTCCTTTCATCATGAATCTGACGTCTACCTCTTTTCTGGGGGGAACCAGCTGGGTTTTGAGTGGATGTGCTTGGAGTTGGTTCTAGTCCCTTGGAAAGGCTGCGGGAGCTGGGCACCATGCAGGTCCCCGGAGATTTCTAACTCACAAGATTAGAAGCCAACATATCTGGCAGGTGCTCTCATGGCCTTGGATCAGAACACTGTTGGGTCCTGAGTCCTAGAGTTAGGTACTTTCCCTCTACAGCCCTCAATTGCCTGATCTGTAAAATGGAAATAATAATAATAATAGGGTGTCATGGAGATCTGATAAGTCCATAAATATGAGTGCTTGGCACACTGCCTGAATGGCCAACTCCCTAGGAGTGCTATTATTGTTGCTATCATTTGGAATGATCTCTTAGGTGCTTCCTGACTTGGAGTGACAATTTACATAATGGTTAAGAACATAGATGTTGAAAGAATGAAGCTGATGTGTAGACCTTGGATGCATCTCTCTCCCCCCAGCCTCAGTTTCCCCTCAGTTATATAATGGAAATAGTAATCCCTCCTTCGAGCTGGGCTGCTTTGAGGGTGAAACCAAATTAGCGTGTGTAAAGTGTTTAGCACAGCTCTTGACATCTAATAACCTGGTTTCATGTACCAATTATTTTCTGTTTTTGCCCAGAGAGGAAAAGGTCTGGCTGAGACCTTTAACCTCTGTCCTCCGCCCCATAGCAAAGTGTGTGTGGGGCGGGGGCACACTTCCCTGTATTTCTGGGCGGGTATCTGACTCAAAGTACCCCTCTCCCCTTGTCCAGCTCCCTAAACCGGTTGGGGCCCTTCTAAAGGGCTCATTAGAGGGGAGAGTCTCCATCTTCATTCCTATCTCCCTTTGAGAACTCTTAGAATGTGGGCAGTAGGGAGGCTGGTATACAAAGGTGGCCAGGCAGCCCTTCAGGGGACAGGAATGGGAGCGCTGGAGGCGGATGGGAGGTCGCGATGCTGGGTTCTCCGAGGGTGGGGCCCGGAAGGCCTGATGCCGCGGGCGGGGCGAGCTGGTCGCTCCCTCCTCTCTCCAGAGCTGTTGGACCTGTTGTCCCCCCCTCCACTTCCGGGCTGCTGGGGAGGGGGACGGGCGGCCTCTCCTCCTCTTCACAGCCACCTGTCTCTGTGGCAGAAGCTGCAGTGCCGGGAGCGCGGAGCGGAGCGAGCTGGTGAGGGGCCGGGGCTGCGGGAAGGAGGGGACTCAGCTCGTGGGGCCCGCGCGGGAGGCGGGAACCGGAGTTCGGGAGCCTAGTTCCTGGGAGAAAAGGAGGGCTTGGGCTCCAGCCTCGTCCCGAGGGGAAGACCGGGAGTCCGGTCTCTGAATCCCTGGGTGACGCGACATGGGTGCTGGTCCCTTACACAGTGGGGTCAGGACTGCCGGACTCGGGGAGGAAGGGGCGTTGAGTACGAAGGGAGGAGAAGGGGTCGCGTTAAAGTGGCCCAAGAGATTGTCGGGGGCCACTGGGCAAGTCCAAGGCCCGACACCTGGGTGGCACGGAGGCTCTGGGTCGCAGAGTCCGGCAGGGGGCGTGCCAGGACCCCGGACTCAAATTCCGGCCCCGCCTACAGCGGGGTGCCGCCTCCCGAGCCCTCGAACCTCGTCCCAACTTCTTCCCCCGCCCCTGGAAGCTCAGACCACGCCCTCGGAGTGCTCAGGCCCATCCTTTGAACTCCTAGGCCCAGCCTCCCCGAGCACTCCGCGAGGCCAGGCCGTCGGGTGCGGCGCCGAAGACCCTAGGCCACGCCCCACGCTTCCAGGCCACGCCCCACGCTTCCAGGCCACGCCCCGGAGCCAGGACCACGCCCACCCCGCAGGAGTCCGAAGCGGCCATGGGGACTCCCAGTAGCCCGGAGGAGAGGTCCGGGTCCCCGCCGGTCCCCGAGTGCGACGCAGAGGTTCAGCCCCAAGGGGCCTCCCAGCCCCATGATCACCCCGATGAGCCCCGCGAACAGGAGGCGCCCGGGGTCCCGGCGGAGCTTCCTAGCGGCCAAGGAGTTGAGCAGCAGACTGAGGAAGAGGAAGAAGTGGGAGAAGGCAGCAGCACTGAGAGCAGCCGGGAGGAGGTGAGGGCCCTTAGGGCGGCAGCCACTGGGAGATCCAAACAGGTGACCGGACACAGGCCGGTGGAGAGAAACCCGAGGGACAGAGACCTGGAGACAGGGAAAAACACAGAGATGGGGAAAGACGACAGAGAAACAGACAGCACCAGACAGATCCACGAGCAGACCCAATAGAGACTGACCCAAACGGGTGACCAGACACAGATACAGGCACTGGGAGAGAGACCCAGAGATAGGGAGAGACAAACCTGGACTTGGACCTAGAAAGCCCCAGACCTACTGAGAGACAGAAACCAGAGAGAGACACAGAGACCCTTGAGACAAAGACCCCAAGAAGAGACTGAGAGATGAAGGAGGGAGGCGAAGAGAGAGAAAGAGTCCCAGAGATTCAGAGCGATGGTTAGAGACCCAGAGGGCAACCCGGAAACTAAGGGTGAAATTACTCAGAAAAAGAGAAATACGGGCGCAGAAACCTGGAGAGGGAGAAACTCCGAGGGAGAAAGAGACCTCATGATTCAGAGACAGAAGACAACTGAGAGACAGGGGGAGAGACTTAGACGTGGGGAGAAAAATGGGACATGGGGCGCAAAGAGAATGGGACCTAGATTTAAAAACCAACCACCACCAACAACAAAAATCACCTTCCATGAATCGGCTTTGTACCCCCTTCCTGAACTGTGAGCCCCTACGATACCGAGGTCCCCAGGTCTGCCCCTTCCCCCACCCGCCTTACAGATCAAGTGGGCATGGTGGTGGAGTTAGGCTGACCGTGACCCCCAGAGAGGGATGAGGGCTTGGGACCAGACCTATAGTGACTGTAGGAGGCTAGACCTTTTCCATTTGACCCGCCCTCTCCAACTTCAGCCCGAGGGCGCGCCTCGGGCACAGACGCCGGCCTCGCCCTCCACCTGCACCCCTTATGGGGAAGGGGTGAGAGCAGCCCGGAGGAGGCTCCAAGCCCAGAAGCTGGAGGCAGTGACACGTGTTGCCCTGTTGGAGCAGAGACTGAAGGAGCTTCAGCGTCAAAAGAAGGAGCTGAGGATCCAGGTGAGGCTTGGACCCCCTTGGAAAGACTGGCCTCAACTCATCTGCAAGGCCAGCTCCCAGCCCTCCTCGCCCAGGGGTCGGATTCTAGGCCCCCAGCTTCATCCTTCCTCCAAACCGGGTGCTCAGAATCCGGGAGTTCAGGCTCCTGGGCCCCTCATAGGCATCAGAACCCTCAGCCCTGGACTTATGGACCTTGCAGATGGAGGTGGAGGTGGCCCTGATACGGGGTGAGCTGGCTGGAGAGCGAGTGGCCCTGCGGCGGGAGGAGGAGCAGCTCCGAGAGCTGCTAGGGCAGCAGGTGGTCGAGGAGCCGGGCAGCCAGGAGCGGGAACAGGTTTGTTCACCTACTGTTTCTTTTCCAGTGGTTTCCTTCCTTGCGTGTGTATATGGAGGGAGATATTCTTGGTGTTTTTTCTGGTGACTTGTCCCCCGACCCCACCGTGGTCCCTGTTTCACTTGGGATCCAGAGACGCTGAGAACAGATTTTCCCTCCTCCCTCCCTGACTGTGATTCTAGACTTGACTCATTGGGCCTTCTTCCTTGACTCCCTCTGCTTTTGCTTTTTAAATATCATATTAGGAAAAATCTCAAATCCACAAAAATCAAATAGGCAGACAGCCTCCCTCCATGCCCTGTGCTCCCCAACTTCCACAATCATAAATCTTCCTTTCTTCTTTCATGTCCTGCAGTTTGCTTCCTGCTCCCTAGTTTTAAAAGCACATCCCCAACATCATAAACTAGTACATACTTTAGCACGTACCATTTGCAAATAAGATCTCCTTTTTAAAAACATCACCATGACATCTTATTATCTCACCTTAGGAATTTTTATTTTTTTTAAAGAGAAAGAGAGAGAGAGAGAATTTTTTTTAATGTTTTATTTTTTAGTTTTCGGCCGACACAACATCTTTCTTTGTATGTGGTGCTGAGGATCGAACCCGGGCCGCACGCATGCCAGGCGAGCGCGCTACCGCTTGAGCCACATCCCCAGCCCCAATTTTTATTTTATTTTTTAAGGTGCTAGGGATGGAACCCTGGGTCCACTCATGCTAGGCAATTGCTCTGCCACTGAGCTACTCCCCAGCCCTTACCTTAATAATCAATAAGTTTTATTATTGTCTTATTTCTAGTCCATTTTCATTTTTCCCTGGATTGTCTCAAAATCACCAGTTAACAGGGGGCTTGTTTGAATCAGACTGAGTGCCAAGCTTGGTTGTGATGTCTCATGTGACTTCAGCACCACTGGTTCTCACCAACGGTGTCTGCTCCTTGCTGTCTGTTGAAGAAACCAAGTATCCTATCCCTCAGATCAGGGAACATTTAGACCTGGGGAGACACAGGGGGCTGGAGGGGCATTTGGGACAGAGGGGCAGCATGGCACTAGTGCACAGAAATTAAAAGTGTATGATGTGGCTGATTGCATGCCTGTGGTGACCCTCAGTGGCCCTCTGTTGCCGTGAGCAAGTGGTTGCTTAGCTATAGAGGCTCAATCAGATTTAGATGTGCTTTGTGCTTTCTGAGCGAGAATCAGGGACATCATTTCTGGGTGTCCGACCTCTATGAGGTCACTCTGATCTCTTTTAATAATCTTTTACCTAAGGATTTTTACCATTCATCAGTAATCATTGCCTGGATTCGGTATAATTATAGCCTGGAAAATGTGACTTTGTAATTTTATCAGTCTTTCTCTTGGCAAGTAGCTTGTATGTTGGCATTTGGGGGAGCTGGGTCCAGGGCTCTCATTTAGAATCAAACACCTCATATTTCTCCAACCCTGATTTCTCGCCTGAGGTCTATTTATGTGCCTGCCTTCTTAGGATAAGGGTTTTTAGGTATTCCTTCCTTCTTCAACCCAAGAGGCCAGGCTCCTAGCCCTCTTCCCTCAGACTGAAGGGCTCCAAGCCTCCAGCCCTCCTCCCTCAGGCCCAGGGGTCCAGCCCAGCCTCCTCCCTCAGGCCCAGAGGTTCTGGCCCAGCCCTCCTCCTTCAGATCCAGGGGTCCAGGCCCAGCCCTCCTCCCTCAGACCTAGGAATCCAGGCCCAGGCCTCCTACATCAGGACCCGGGGTCCAGGCCCAGCCCTCTTCCTCAGACCCAGGGGTCCGGGCCTCAGCCCTCCTCTGAGGAGAAGCCAGGAGTCTGCTTCTTTTTCTTAATCATTTCTAAAGCTGTCCTTGGCAACTCTTCTCCACTTCAATTGTCCCTTTGCCTCTTGGTCACCAGGTCCTACATGCCTCCCTTTCTGTTACCCCCAAGCTCACCAGTCACCGTGTTCTGCTTCCCAGTGTGTCTCTGGTCCATCTCTTTCCCATCCCCCCTGCCCAGGCCCAGCTCACTCACTGCTTTGAGGACTCCTGCAGGAGCTGGTCTCCGCCCTAGTATTCCTTCTCCCCAGGGGATTCCAACGCCCTGCCCTGCTCCATCCCTTCACTCCTTCCATGGCTCCCCATTGACCGAACCTGACTGAGCTCCGTGGGCAGCCCTCTGGCTGCTGTGTCCCACAGGCCCCTCCTCCCTTCCCACTTCTCCCTGGCTGAGGTTTGCCCCGCAAAGTTCATGCACTTTTAATTCCTGTGCACTAGTGCCATGCTGCCCCTCTGTCCCAAATGCCCCTCCAGCCCCCTGTGTCTCCCCAGGTCTAAATGCTCCCTGATCTGAGGCTTTAAATTCCCCATCCCAGGGGCTGGGCTATGGCTCAGTTGGTAGAGTGCTTGGCTCACGTGCACAAGGCCCTGGGGTCGATCCCCAGCACCAAAAAAAAAAAAAAAAATCCCCATATCTGGGAACCTGTGGCTGCCCCAGGCTCCTGCATCTCTGCTTTCACTGCTCTGACCTCAGCTGTGAATGGCTGTGTGTCCTCCTGGAGGGCAGGGCCTGGGCTAGGGACCCAGCATTACCCAGTGTGGCCATGTTTCCCGTTCACTCCTTCACTTGTTTCTTTCTTTTCCCCTTCCCTCCTTCCTGTTCTGTTTCACTCTCTTTTTTGCCACTCTGAGAATGGAGCTCAGTTCCTTGTGACTAGGAAAGCATCTACCATGGAGCTACAGCCCAGCCCTTTTCTCTTTCTTTCTTCTAATGATCCTCCTGCCTCAGCCTCCTGAGTAACATGTGCCACTGCACCTGGCTTCTCCTTCATTTATTTCCCAAACAACTGTTGACTTGGAGCCTCCTCTGGGGGGTGCAGCACAGGAGTGAACCAGACAGAGTCCTGCCCCCGCGGAGCTGACACCAGGCAGGGTCTGAGGTCTGGCTGGTCTTGCCCCTGCTGGCCTGCTTCCCTCTCTGAGCTCATCTGAAGCTGAGTCTGGTCGCTTTTCAGGAACAGAGGCAACTAAGGCAGGAGCGGGACTGCGTGGAGGGTCTCCGCCACAGACTTCAGGAGGCCCAAGGACAGCTGGACTCCCAGCCAGAGGACCAGCGAGAGCGACTTCTGCAGGGGGTACAGGAGGTGAGGGCCCTCTGGACCTTCTCTAGGACCTGATGTCCAGGCCCCACGGGTCCAGACTCCAGCCTCCTCCCTCAGCCCCTCAGCCTTCTTTCCTCATTGACCAACAATCCAGGCTGCAGCCACAACTTTCCTCCAGGCTTTTTATGTCCCCACTCACAGATGAGGGAACAGCTGGATGTGGCCCAGCGCGCTTATGAGGACCTGGAGTTCCAGCAACTGGAGCGGGAGAGCCGGCAGGAGGAGGAGGAGCGGGACCACCCTGGGCTCCAGCTGCCGGACCCCAAGGTCCAGGAACTTCAGGCCAGTGTGGCCCAGCACAGGGTGAGTGTCAGTGAATAACCCTGCCCCTGAGGCCATTCCTCTTGTCTCCCCCACTGCGCGTGCGTCGCTGAGCTGACTGAACTGTTGGTGTGTCACACCCGGTGCTGAGCGTCCCAGGGTCTTCACTTGTTGAATCCTCACACAGGCCGACAGACAAGTCCTGTTCTACTTTTTCCATATCTTAAATGAAGAAGCAGAAGGTCAAAGTTCTTACATTATCTCTCAAAGTCACTTAGTTCTAAAAGGTAGAGCTGGGATTGGAACCTTCGCAGTCTTGGCCACCACGCTCTGTGCCTCTCGGCCCCTGGTCCAAACAGATGTGGTCACTAGTCCGACCGGCAAGCTTCACGTTCAGGGTCTGACAGGTTCTGTGGGTACTTCACACAGTTTCCCACTTTCTGGACTACAAAGTTCTGAGGGGGGGTCTCCTCCTCCCACCTCTGCTTCTGGATCTTCTTGTCCCTCTCTCTTCCCTTCCTCGGTGAGGACTGTCCTTCTTTCTGTCTCCTGTTTCTATCTTGTCTTCTTCCTCTGCATTTTCTCTACATTTCTGTCTTTGAGGTCTGTCCTGGTTGCCATTCTTTGGACCTATTCTGGTTTGTCCCCTCTGTCTGTCCCTTTGTCTCTGTTCTGCGTTACTCTCTGGGGTTGCTATCTCCCTAGGCCTCTGCCTATATCTCAGTTCCTCCCTCCCCTCCCACCCACCCCGGATCTCTCCTAGAACCCCAAATGGGAAAAGAACCTCGCAGGCTCCTCCCTGGACATTCAGATCTCACCTTCTCTAGACTCACAGGGAGGACATGATTCTCTGGGAGGGTGGGCTGGGGCTCCTGGAGCAGCTGAGTAACCAGGGTGGCGGGGGGTGGCCCTGCAGCGCCGGATCCAGGTCTTGGAGGAGCAGCTCAAGTCTCTGGGGGAGCAGATGGTGGCTGAGAGCCGGGGGCTCAGCCAGGAGAAGGAGGAGACCCGTCGGGCCCTGGCCCAGGTGAGTTTCCCTGGAGACCTGTCCCAGGTACTCACTTCCCTCAGGTGTCCCACCATCTCCCTGGATCATGCCTCCTGGCTATGGGGATGGCCCATTTTGGCTTCACCATGTGGTAAGCCGTGATGCCCTCCCTAGGAACAGAACCGATTCCTCGAGCTTAACCGCCTTCAGGAGACACCTGGTGGGGACTTCTCTGAGCCCAACCAAGCTCTCACAAAGGTATGGCGATTTTAAATGCCTGTCAGGCTCCCCACCTCAGACCTAGGAATCCAGGCCTCAGCCCTTCTCCCTCAGACCTGGGGATCCAGGCCCAGCCCTCCTCCCTCAGACCTGGGGATCCAGGCCCAGCCCTCCTCCCTCAGACCTGGGGATCCAGGCCCAGCCCTCCTCCCTCAGACCCAGGGATTCAGGCCCAGTCCTCCTCCTTCAGACATGGGGATCCAGGCCCAGTCCTCCTCCTTCAGACATGGGGATCCAGGCCTCATTCCTCCTCCCTCAGACATGGGGGTCCAGGCCCAGCTCTCCTCCCTCAGACCCAAGGATCCAGGCCCATCCCTCCTCCCTCAGACCCAAGGATCCAGGCCCAGTCCTCCTCCCTCAGACCCAGGGATTCAGGCCCAGTCCTCCTCCTTCAGACATCAGGATCCAGGCCTCAGCCCTCCTCCCTCAGACCCAGGGATCCAGGCCCAGTCCTCCTCCCTCAGACATGGGGGTCCAGGCCCCAACCTTCCTCTATTGGGGTCCAGAATTCCCCACTCAGGAGCTCAGGCCCCAGCCCTTCCTCCTCAGGGATCGGCAGTGCAGGGGGCCCACAGCCCTTGCTCTTATTGGGAGACTAGACACTAAGGACCACATTCTAGCTCCTCTTGTGACTGAGCCTTTGTTTTTCCATCTGAGAACTGGGGGTGCCTCTGTGTTCTCTTCATCTCCCCTTAATCTTTGCATCCTCTCCCCAGCTGCTGTTCACCCAGAAGACAGACCGGCAGCTGCTAGTGCTTCAGGAGCCCACCAGCCACTCTGCTGCCACCTCTACCTCTTCCTGCCTCTTCTCTGTCCACAGCTCCCTGCAGGTGCCTCCCCTGCTTCCTTTGCCCATGCGCCTGTTTGGTCAGTCGGGAGGGAGGGCCTAAAAGCAGAGCCCAAGTCCAGAACTTCCACTGGGCTCTGTGTGGGGGCGAGGGAGATAGGGAAGCTTGACCAAGGGGTATTTGATGACTCCAGTTTTATTTATTTATTTTCTTCCTTCTGCCTAACACCCCACGTCTTCCCTGAAGAAATAAGAGCATGTGCAACCCAGAAGTAAATTTTAAAAGTGACCAAACAGGGTGTATGGGTAAGAAGGTCTCTGTGTCCCTGAAGGCCCCTAGGCCCTCTCTCCAGAAGTAGGGCATCTGCTTGGTTCTTGATCCTTCCAGAACTCTGTAAAAAGGGGGCCCCTTGAGCTGTGGGTGTAGCTCAGTGGCACAGCATTTGCTTTTCTGCATGAGGGCCCCAGTTTGATCCCAAGCACCACAACATAAACAACCCCCAAAACTGGGAGCCCCATTTTCTTAATGGCTTAAACATTTATTGAATGGGTTGGTACTATTGTTTATTTTTTTTAAAGAAGTGGAGCAGAAAATATCCAAGTGCTATGAATGAAGTAAGGTAAATATTACACGAAAAAAAGTCTTATTTCTGTAAGCACTTAGAAATTGGTAGCTCTCATTATATCATGTAAACTTCTTTTACCCCAAAATGTGTGTACTAGCTAATTGTTTTGGGTTTTTTTTTTTTTTGTTGTTGTTGTTGTTATTGTTGTTGTTGTTGTTTTAAGTTATATATGACAGCAGAATCCAGCTTGATATAATTATCCACACATGGAATATCTTTCTCTAGTTAGGATCCCATTCTTACGGATGTTCTTGATGGTAGGATTCACTGTGTTGTTTTCGTATGGCTACAGGGAAAATGATGTCAGATCCATTCCACTGTCTTTCCTTTGTTGTTTTTAATTTTTTATTATCGTTCTCCATTATGGAAACTGTTCTCTGTTGATACATTTAGAGCTGCCTCATCGTTGTTTTTTTTTTTAAACATTGAGTTCTTTTGGGAGACTCTGGTTTTGTTTTGTTTTTTTAACAACTTTATTTATTTATTTATTTATTTGTGGTGCTGAGGATCGAACCCAGGGCTTTGCACATGCTAAGTGAGCACTCTACTGCTGAGCCATAACCCCAACCCCAGCCTCATCATTTTTAATGGCTGTAATAATAATATAAACAGTAACAATAGTAGTAATAACAGCTACTTATCAAGTCCTTGGAGAGTGCCTGACATACTTAGAAATGCTTCATATAGATTCACCCACTTAATTTTTTAGGGGGACAGATACTGGGAATTGAACTCTGGGGTACTCAACTACTGAGCCACATCTCCAGACCTATTTTGTATTTTACTTAGAGACAGGGTCCTATGGAGTTGCTTAGCTCCTTGCAGTTGCTGAGGCTGGCTTTAAACTCACAATCCTCCTGCCTCAGCTTCCCAAGCTACTGGGATTACAGGTGTGCGCCACCGCGCCCGGCTTATCCACTCAATTTTTGCAACAATTCTACAGGCAGATTATCTCCATTTTATTGGTGAAGAAACTGAGGCAGAGAGGTTAAGTTACTTAGCTAGGTGCCATGTGCCAAAGCTAGGATTTGAACCCAAGCATTCTGTTTGCAGAGCCTGTGTTCTTTTTTATTGTATTTTAGGTGGTGATGGGGATGGAACCCAGTGTCTCTTGCATGCTAGACAAGTACTCTGCCACAGAACCCCAGTCCCAGCCATGACAATGTTCTGGCTTCCGTGTGGCACACAATTCTATTGTGGGGCATTGAGCTGCCCTCCCTCTATAGGCAGTGATGGAAGGTTTTGCAGTTTAAGAAGTGTTGTGAAGAATACCTGTGTGTGTGTGCACGTGTATGCATTTATGCAAAAAATAACATTTATGCAAACAATGTTAATTACTATTATATCACCAAATACTATTATATTCAATATAAGCATATATTATTGTATTATCATATTATTATACATAATTTATATTTCATATTCATGAATTAATATTTAAAATTACTTTAAAAATGTTTATTACTTAATACTTATTAATGATCATTAATAACAATATTCCATTTTTAGCATTTAGGATAGGCCAGTGTCTGTTCAAAGCCATTCTGTCCCTTTTTGCCACGTGGGATTATTATTATGTGGAGCTGAGAAACAACTCCTGGCAATTTCACATGGTTCAGCCTAATATAGAGAATTTCATATCTTTCTCAGAAGAACCCCCAAGAGCAGGACCTATTATTATTTGGGTGACGGTTAATAGATTTAACTTTCTAGCTGGTTCTTGTGGAAATCTGAGAAGCTAGAGTGTCAGCTATGTTGCTAGACAGTGTGGCCAGAGCAGAGTAGATGCTCAGTGAGAGCTGCTGTTTCTCTACTTATTAGTATTATTATAATTATTTTCATCCTTGATCTATTCACCCTCATCTGTTTATATTTTTTATTTTTTGTAACTGCATCAGCCTCTCACTAATGTTCCCATCTTAATTCTTTTTTTCCCAATAATTTATTCTTTTTCTGTGTGCTGGCATTTGAATCCAGGGCCTTGCATGTCCTAGGCAAGTGCTCTACCACTTGAGCTACACCCACAGCTCTTTTTATTTTTGTTATTATTACTATTATTGTGTGTGTGTGTGTGTGTGTGTTTTGCTGGGGATTGAATCCAGGGCCTTGTGCATGCGAGCAAGCACTCTACCAACTGAGCTATATCCCCATCCTTCTTGTTATTTTTTGAAGCAGGATCTTGCTAAGTGCTAAAGCTGGCCTCAAACTTGCGATACTCCTGCCTTAGCCTCCTGAGTTGCTGGGATCGTAGGTGTGCACCACCACACCAAGCCCAATAATAATTCATTCTTCACACAACAGCCAGAGTGATCCTCATCCTTCCTGCTTTAATTCCTCCATCCCCAAGACCGTCAGTGGCTTCCCAGGCTTCCTCACCATGAGCTGCAAGTGCTGATATGGCGCCCGCATGTCTCACCACTCCTCCCTATTCACTGTGCTCAGCATTGATCCACCAACATTCTATACTTTTTTATGCCTCAGGGCCTTTGTACTTACTGATCCTTCCACTTGAAGCACCATCCCCCCCCAGTTTTCCTTGAACAACTCATCCTTTGGGGCTGGGAGTTGGTGTTCAGAAGCCTGTACCTGGTTTTCTAATTAGAAAATGATCCTTTTTGATAGTACTCTGTTCTCTTTTTACACAGCAATTTCTGATGATGAGTTCATTTGTAGGATGGCTCACTCAGTTCCTTAGAATGGAAGCACCATGCAGACTAAACTGGGGTCTGCATTGCCCAGTCCCATTTGCCAATTATCCAAGAGCTCCCAGCCAGGAAGTGCTGGGAATATGGCTGAAGGAAAGCCCAGGGACTCGGGTCTCAGTTTCCTCTCTGTGAAGTAGAGCGAACATTTCCCAACTCAGGGTTTTTTGTTTTGTTTTGTTGAGATAGGAGTCTCCCTACCTTGCTAGGGCTGGCCTTGAACTCACAGACTCATATGATCCCCCACCTCAGCCTCCCAAATAGCTCAGACTACAGGTGCCACCACCACACGTGGCCTCACAGGGCTTTTAGGAGCTTAAGTGGGCCTGCAGAGTGCCAGGTACAGTCGTCCCTTGGGACTGTAAAGGATTGTCTCCAGGACCCCCAAGGAGACCTATATCTCAGGAGACTCTAGTCCTTATATAAAATGTTGGAGTACTTGCAGTTAACCTCGACACATCTTCCTGTATTCCATAAAACACTGGAGATAACTTAGACACTTACACATGATGGAAATGGAAATGGTTATTGTACTGCGTTGTTAAGTGAATAAGGACAAGAAACAAAGTTTGAACATGTTGAGGACAGATACAGTTTTCCTTTCTCGCAAGTATTTTTGGCCTGCATCATATTGAATCCAAAGATGCAGAACCCACAGATAAGGAGGGAAAGCTGTATGCTGGAGACAGATAATGAGCTCTTGATAAATGCCAGCCATTAAAAAAAAAACTTAATATTGAAACGAGACAAGTGTGGAAAATCACATCAAACAAATGCACAGCTGAATTATCATACGGGAACATTCTGGTAAGTGCCACTTGTGTTACGAGATAGTACCTCCCGGCCAACTTGTAATTCTTCTTTATGAAGTCCAGAACAGGTGGAACTATGTATCTGTGGTTTCGTAAGTCAGAAGAATGGTCCCTTGACAGATGTGTCACTGGCCAGGAGGAGGGACAAGGAAGCCTTTGGAGTGATGGGCCTGTTCTGTGTCTCCATGTGGGTGGCTGGTATGCAAGTGTAAATATATGTACATTGTACCCAGCTGCACGTGTGTAAGTCTGTGCACTTCTCACCTTATTATATATATGGATATGTTATTTATGCATTTATATATATATGTGTATGTATACACACACACATACACATACACATGTATGTGGATGTGTATTTATTTATTTATTGCTGTATTGAAAATTTATTTAAAACTGAGCTATATCCCTAGCCCTTTTTATTTTTCATTTTTAAAGAAAAATTTTAATGTATATGCTTTTTTAGTTGTAGATGGACACAAGACCTTTATTTTTTATTTATTTATTTTTATGTGGTGCTGAGGATGGAACCCAGGGCCTCACATGTGCTAGGCGAGTGCTCCACCACTGAGCCCCAGCCCCTTGTTTTTCATTTTGAGACAGAGTCTTGCAAAGGTGCCCAGGCTGGCCTGGACCTGTGATCCTCCTGCCTCGGCCTCCCTAGTTGGGGTTACAGATGTGCACCACCATATGTAGCTCAACTTCAGAATGCTTTCATTAACCCCCAAAGAGCTGGGATATAGCTCAGTTGGTAGAGTGCTTGCCTGGCATGCACCAGGCCCTGGGTTCAATCCCCAGCACTGCCAAAAAAAATAAAGAAACCCTGCACCCCAGAGCCACCACTCCTCAATTTGCCCATCTCTCCCAGCCCCTGGTGATCACTATTCTACTTCCTGCCTCTGTATTTATTTGCTCTATATTAATTTACTCTGGATACTTTATATAAATGGTGCCATAGACAGTGTGGGCCTTTGCAGTTGGCTGCTTTGACTCATGTTGACAGTAGGATTTTTGAGGGTGGCAGATGTAACTCAGTAGTAAAGTGCTTGCCTGGCTTGTGCGAGCCCTTGAGTTTTATCCTCAGCACTGTGGGGGGAAAAATACAGATTTTTGCTGGACGCAGTGGTGCATGCCCATAATCCCAGCAGGTTCAAAGCCAGCCTCAGCAACAGCGAGGCACTAAGCAACTCAGTGAGACCCTGTCTCTAAATAAAATTCAGAATAGGGCTGGGGATGTGGCTCAGTGGTTGAGTGCCCCTGAGTTCAATCTCCGGTGCCAAAAAACAAAAAAAACAAAAAAAAAAAAAAAAGATTTTTGATCTGTGCCCATTAGGTGGTAGTTTTACGTGGCAGTTCTCTAACTTTCTGCTGAGATGGAACACCTCTTTCTGAGTGCTTGGGCCTTGCATGTTTTCAGGGCTCCTTTGGTCTCCAGAGGACTGGAAGCCTGCCCCGGAGAAGAGGAGAGAGAGGGAGCCAGAGAGGATCCCCACGACCTCTGTCCCTCCATTGTACTGGTGAGGGCCTCTCCCATTCCCCACCTACTCTCCTGCCCCCATCTCCTCCCATCCTGCTGCAGACTATGGAGATGGGGCAGGGAGGAGCAGAGGGACTTGGGCCTGGGAGTGTCCTGGTCTCCTCATCTGGTCCCCTCTCCCTCAGGACCCCTTGAGGCCTCGACTCTCACACCAGCAGTGGAGGCCTCTGGGAGACACCCGCTCTATCAGCTGCTAAACTGTGGCCCTGGGAACAGGTGAGAAGTCAGGGAGAAGGGGTGGGGAGATGGGAGGAAGAGGCCCAGGCCTGGTAACCCGCCAATCTCTGTTCCCTGGTTCCAGCTGCAGGGCCACCCTCCACCCAGACATCGCTCACATGGAGAAGCTTCTGCATCAGGCGATCGCAGAGAGGGAGCGGCTGATCAAGGCCAGGGTGAGACTCATTCTTCTTTAGGAACAGGAAACCCTACTTCAAGTCCTCTTCCCTCAGACCCAGGGGTCCAGCCCAGCCCCCTCTCTCAGGGCCAGGGGTCCAGCCCAGCCTCCTCCCTCAGACCCAGGGGTCCAGGCCCAGCCTCCTCCCTCAGACCCAGGGGTCCAGGCCCAGTCTCCTCCCTCAGACCCAGGGGTCTGGACCTAGCCTCTTCCCTCAGACCCAAGGTCCAAGCCCAGCCTCCTCCCTCAGACCCAGGGGTCCAGGCTCAGTCTCCTCCCTCAGGGCCAGGGGTCCAGGCCCAGTCTCCTCCCTCAGACCCAGGGGTCCGGACCTAGCCTCCTCCCTCAGACCCAATGTCCAAGCCCAGCCTCCTCCCTCAGACCCGGGGGTCCAGGCCCAGCCTCCTCCCTCAGACCCGGGGGTCCAAGCCCAGCCTCCTCCCTCAGACCCGGGGGTCCAGGCCCAGCCTCCTCCCTCAGACCCGGGGGTCCAGGCCCAGCCTCCTCCCTCAGACCCGGGGTCCAGTACATTTTCCTGGTTGGCATTCTCATTGATTCTTTCATTTCAAATCTACAGGAAGGAATGAAAAAGAGCAGAGAAAGTTCCTCAGGCCCAGCTCTTCCTGCCATCATGGTCAGTCCTGCCTCTCCCTACCCTCCCTGCTCAGGTCCTCCCCCTGGCTTTGGTCCTGTCTTGCATTTCACTCTGTGTCCCCTGCAATGTGACAGAAAAAGGGCCCTGGGCTTGATAAGGGAAGGGGAGTCAAAAGGACCCCATTTCTGTTCCCAGTTCAGCCATCTGTGTCAGCAGCCCGCACATGGGTACCTTGCTCCATATTCTTATTTTAATTCTTGTTCTTATTCTTGGCTATACCTCATGAGATTATTAATTATTCTATAATATAGTCATATAATTCCATATGCATATTTCTCTAATTGTCTCAAATGTCTTTGGAGGTTTATTTGAATCCAGATGCAAACCAAGCATTTGGCTAAAATGTCTCTAACTGTTCTCCTCCTCTCTCTTTTTTTTTTTTTTAAATGCCATTTATTCATGAAAAAAAATTGAGCCATTTATCCTGTGGGTTTTTTCACATTCTGAATTTTGCTGACATCTACTTTATTAAACTTCTAATTATTTATTTACTTATTTTAGTGGTACTGGGTGCTTTACCACAGAGCTATATTCCCAGTGTTTTTATTATGATGATGATGATGATGATGATGATGATGATGATGATGATGATTATTATTATTATTATTATTATTATTATTTTGAAATAGGGTCTTGCTAAGTTGCCTAGGCTGTACTTGAACTTGTGATCCTCCTGCCTTGGTTTCCCAAGTTGCTGGGATTATGGGCATGTTCCATTGTGATGGAGTAAATATATATATATATATATATATATTTTTTTTTATCTAGCCTGAACATATTTTTGTTATAAAGAATCATATAGTATTGAGAAAGTAAGGTCACCTTCCCCTCTCTGATCTTGCTTCTGCACAGGTGTTGTTTGTTTTTATTGTTGAGATGTGTTTTGAGTCTTTTTATACTTTTCCACTCGTATCTACTGATCAAAACTTTGTGAATTTATTTGTCCTATAATTGAGCACATCATTCCCAACCTGCTTTTTGTTTTCTCAACCATTTATCCCTCCATTAGTCATTCCACCCGAGATGTATCAGCTGCCTACTATGTGCTAGGCCCTGGGTGACAGCAGTGACCTATATAAAAATCCCTGCCTTCCAGGAAGTTGATGTGTATTGGGGATGATAAACAAAAAGCAGCATCCATAAGTCAAACAGATAACATGTCAGATGCCAGTCAGAGCCAGGTGGCCCCACGCAGCCGGCAGGGTGGTGGGGCTTCTGGGTTCTTAGGCACAAGCTGAACCTCATTAAAAATGGAGGGCTCTGACTTTGAAGCAGTTCGCCCCGCCTTGGAGCCACATCATTTATTAAACAGTCCCTGTTCTGTGTATTGTCCTTACATGTGTGCCCACGCTCTTTGGTGCAGGGGAGCAAGTGTCTCTTGGGATTGGTGCCCAGAAGGAAAGGTCTGGCCTGCAGCTAGCTCATCCTCCAAACAGTCCCAGGAAGGGGGACCTGGGAGACCTGGAGGCTCCCAGAAAGACAGGGACTCTGTGGAGGTGACACAGCCAGGGGGTGGGGGAATTGAGAGCCCTAAGCCCATCTCTGCTAACCTGGATTGGGACGCAGCTCTGCCACGTCCCAGCTGGGTGGGTGGCCTTGGGGAGCCACTTCCTTTCTGGAAGCCTCATTTTCCCCATGTGTCAACTGGGGACGCTAATAGGTTGCTCTGGAGAGGAAACAAGATAATCACTGTGATCTCTTGGCACAGTGCCCAACACATGGTGGGAGCTTCCGTCCTATATGGTGATCCTTAGAGTTACTGTGTGGGTTTGGTAAGATGATGCAGAGAAGATTCCAGGCCTTAATGGGTGTGTGTTTGTTTTGTATGGGGGATTGAACTCAGGGACGCTTAACCACTGAGCCACATCTCCAGCCTCTTTTATTTTTTACTTTGAGACAGAGTCTTACTAAGTTGCTTCCTGAGCCACTGGGATTACAGACATGTACCACCATGCTGGCTTTAGTGGGGGTTCCTTACACCTAGTCTTTCCTTCCTTTGCAGCAGATCATCCCCCCACCTTGTCCCCCTCTTGTCCCCTCTCCCTTGTCTCTAACCAGTGCATCTCCTCTCTGCTCTTCAGGCCTTCTTCCTCTGTCCTGACTTGAGTTTTCTAAGCCCCCTATGGTCCAAGTGCAGTTGGTGCATCAACGGTATCAGTGTCCCTGGGAGTTTGTGGGATATGCAGAACCTCACCTCCACCCAGACCCCTATTCTGGAATGGCCCAGAGTCTGCATTTAAAAACAAAAAAAACCTGCTGGGGTTCTGCTTTCATGGAGAAGCTCTGTGTCACCTAGAAGCTGTGTGTGCCATCCAGAGGATTATTTCGTGTCTCTATGCCACAATTTGTTCATCTGTAAAATAAGGCTCATAGGAGCCCCATCACAACCGCAGAGGTAGAGTCGGTGTTGGAACATGCACCTGTGATCCCAGCTACTCTGTAATCCCAGCTACTCGGGAGGCTGAGACAGGAGCATAACAAGTTGGAGGCCAGCCTGGGTACTTTAGTGAGACCCTATCGCAAAAAAAAAGGACTGAGGATATAGCTTAGCGGTAGAGCGCCCAGGGTTCAACCGGGGTCCAGGGGTGGGGCGTACTTGATGCCCACAAACCCTAGGCATAATAATACAATAAATGTAGCTGTTGGGGTCATTTTCATGATTGTGGTTGTTAAATCACTGTCCAAAGGCTATAGTAGGCCTGGCTTCCTCCCGGGCTCCAGGCTGCAGCACCTCAGCCACTCCTGAGTCCCATGGTGGGCCTTTTCTCGGCACTCCGCAGGCTCCACCCGCGCCCCCACCCCGCCCTCCAGGCCCCCGCGTCCTGGATCTCCGGCAGCACCTGGAACGGTGGGGCCACAACCCAGAAAGCTGTCCTCATGTGCGCGTGTCCTGTGGCTGCTGCCGAGGACCCCTGGTGAAGATGGGTGGCCGCATCAAGACCTGGAGGAAGCGCTGGTTCTGCTTCGACCGCCAGGCACGTCGCCTGGCCTACTATGCAGGTGAGCCCGGCCTGGAGCTCTGGGGCCCAGGACTTTGGAAGCCCACTCCAGATGCCTCCCCCACCCCAGGCATCTGGGAGTCGCCTCTGCCCCCTCCATCAGGGCTCTGAAGTGCAGGCCCCCACTTGCCCCCTCCCTGAAAGTAGAAGACTTGGGGCCCTTGGTTCCTTCCTCTGATATACCCAGTAATCACCTCTTTTATCCAGAGCCCAGGAGTCCAGATCCCCAGCCCCTTTCCCCTTAAGTGACCTAGAATCCACACACACAGGCCTCCTCAGTAACACAGTTGACAGTTTAGTATAATTTTGGGTTCCAGACCCCATTTTCCTAACTGCCCAAGAGTCTGAACCTGCAATATCAGCGCCCTCCCCTACCCCAGCTCCAGGAATGGGACTCTTTGTCTTTAGGTGGTCCCAAGCTTTCCTTGAGTTCCTTCCCTTCTCAAGGACCTAGGATGCCTGCAGTATTGTCCAGTCTCGGAGACTCCCAATCTCTCATCTAGCATCAACACCCACTCACTCCCCAGCGATGGTACTTCCTGGACCTTCAGACTCTCACCTGTCTCAGACTTGCCCCAGTGACCCGGGCCTGACACATGCCTCTCACTAGCTCTATTTCTCCCTCTCCTTCCTCCACCAGACAAGGAAGAGACCAAGCTCAAAGGTGTCATCTACTTCCAGGCCATTGAGGAAGTCTACTATGACCACTTACGCTGTGCCTTCAAGGTGAAATCCCATTCAGTGCCACCCTGCCCTCTCAGTCAGAGCCTTACCCTGTCTCTAGCTCATTCTGGGCAAAGCCACCCACAGCTGCTACTGTCAGGATACCAGGGTCCAGCATAAGAGACCAGCAGTTCATGGCACTGCCTATAATACTGCATGGTGGCAAATGCCTATAATACTAGCAATTTGTGAGTCTGAGAAAGGAGGACTGTCAAGTTCTAGGCCAGCCTCAGCCATTTAGTAAGGCCCTCAGCAATTTAGCAAGACCCTGTCTCAAAAAAATTTTTTTAGGCCGGGTGCAGTGGTGCACCCCTGTAATACCAGCAGCTGGAGAGGCTGAGGCAGGAGGATCGGGAGTTTAAAGCTAGCTTTAGCAAAATCAAGGCACTAAGCAACTCAGTGAGACCCTGCTCTAAATAAAATACAAAATGGGGCTGGGGTAATGTGGCCCAGTGGTCAAGTGCCCCTGAGTTCAATCACTGGTACCCCACCAAAATTTTTTTTTAAAGGGCTGGGATTGTAGCTCAGTGGTAAAATGCCCTAGATTCAATCCCCAGTACAGGAAAACAAACAAACAAACAAAAAAAAAAAAAAAACCCACCTCAGACTCTGGCTCTCAGCCACTGTTAATTTTCTTGGACAAAAGTTAAAAGTTTTCAAGCAAAAATCCGGGTTCCATGGTGCATGCCAGTAATCCCAGCTCCTCAGGAGGATGAGGCAGGAGAATTCCAAGTTCCAGGCCACCTTGGCAACTTAGTGAGACTTTGTCTCGAAGTAAAAAAAAAAAGGTCTAAGGATGTATCTCAATGACATTGTGAGCATACACACACACACACACACACACACACACACACACACTTGGAAACTCATGCCAAGCTGGGAATAAATGAAGGAAGAGGGCAGAGTAGGACTGAGGCCCACTGAGAGCATGGACATCATACAGCCATTACTTGGCTTCTGCCCATAGTTACCAGATGGGAATGAGCCAGATGGTGTCAGACTTATTTTCTTTTATAAAAATAAATGTTGGAAACTGATGCAGTGTTTAGAATCCTCTGTGGAGAGGAGCCAACCCTGGCTTTCCTTAAGTTAGAACCCCAGCTGTATGACATTTCAGAAAAGTGAGGTCCCTTCTCCAGCCTAGTTTTCTCATCTGCAAATTGGGCAGGCTTCAACCCATGCCCTCAGGGTTTAAAACAGAATGGATGCAGGGGATTTACCCAGCTTGGGTTTGGGAGTAGTTTCTTCATAAATGGGCACTAACTTCCCACAAACCAACCAGGAGGACCGAGATTTGGAGGGGGGCTGGGCGGTGGCCGGAGTCAGCGTCCTAACCACCCTGTACCCTGCCTGTTCCAGAGCCCCAGCCCTCGCCTGACGTTCTGTGTCAAAACCTACGAACGCCTTTTCTACATGGTGGCCCCGAGCCCCGAAGCCATGCGCATCTGGATGGACGTCATCGTCACCGCCGCGGATGAGAACCACGCCCCCTGAGCGGCCCCGCCCACCCGGGGACGTCCTGGCGAAGCTCCGCCCCACACGCAGTAGTGCTCCAAGGCCCCGCCCATTCCAGAAACGGGGGCCCGCCCCTTCTGAACTCTCCCGGGAACCCTGCGGTGGCTGCGGCTCAGCTGGCCTGAGTCGCGGCTCTCCGTGCAGCTGGGGTGGCCCCGCGACGACGGGATCGCCAGTCCCGGGGCCCTGCCTGGGGCAGGAGGACGATTTCAGGGTGGGAAGAAACTATTTATTGGTGCTCCTGTGAAACCGAATTAAACACGGCGGAAAAACAGGGTCGCTGCTGTGGTGTCCAGCCCGGCGACCGGGGCCAGCCCCTAGGCAGGACCTCGGAGTTACGGGCACCTCTGGGGCCAAGCGTCCCCGCTGTTTCTCGCTTTTAGGAATGGAGACCTTCGCCCTGCTGGCATGGCCGGGAGCAGGGGGTTGGGAGGCCCGTCCTCAGGCTTTTGCAATGTTGTTGTTTTAGTTTGTGGGTTTCTCTGCTTCCGGTTTGACCCACAGCTGTCGGCAGTTTCTGGAACTCCCGGGCCCCCTCTCCCCTCTGCCTGCTCTTCCTTAACCAGCTCTTCATTTCCCAGGTCCAGTTCATGTTCCTTCCTTCAGGAAGTCCTCACTGGCCCCCTTGGCTGATCAGGCGCCTCCTCTGAGTTCCCATCCTATCCCTGAGCACTGGCTTGTCACCGTGATGACCCGTGCTCTTTATGGACGGGGAACTCCATGAGGACAGAGCCCGGCTGTTCTGGTGACCTCTGTGTCACCAGTAGGACAAATATTCCATGAAAACGAGAAGAATGTGTCCCTGTCCCCTCTGGGTCTTTTTGTCCATTCTATTTATTTGTCTAGGCATCTCCACACTCCACCCACTTCTCATTTAGGCAGGAGCACCTGTGTTTCCTTCTCCAGGAAGCCCTCCCTGATTGCCCTGACTGAATCAGAGGTTTCCTCAGGGATTTCCACAACAGTCCTGACCACTCTGCCTCCCAGCACAACCTGCCCACTCTGCCAGGTGCTTATCCCATCGTGGCCTTGACTGCCCTAGGCCTTCCTTGCTGATGAATTAGTCTCTCCCTCTGGTCTAGGAGCTCCAGGAGGCAGGGACTGGGGCTCTATTGATCACTACTGAGTCCTTGTCACACACCAAAGGGCTCAGGTGCTGCACACTAGGTGTTGAAGGAATGTCTTATGGTTGAATAAATGAGTTAGGGATAGATGCTAAGGACCAGGAGAGTTGTGAACAAGGCGGCCGGCTCCTGGGCTGACTTCACCTTTAGATCTTACCTGGCACATCCCCTCCTAGGAGAAGCTCTCCTTGGTCCTGAGGCTGGGTCAAGTGCCTGGGCTGCCGAAGTCCTCTCCCTCTCCCCCCACCAGCACTCTAGGCTGTCCCTCTGGAGACAGCTCTTTCTTCCCCTCAGACAGCCCCCTTGAGGATCCCGGATCTCGATCTAGTGTTCCTGAGTCCTGGGAGTACAAATCCCCAGGACCCCAGGTGACCCCACCTCCAGCTGTGAGACTTCTGAATTCTTGGATCAGTTCATCACCCAGCCCCCAGAACGGAGCCAGCTTCACAGGCATGTGACCAATCTAGTCAACAGAAGAGCCCTGCTCTTAAATTTTGTGTTCTGTGATCATCATCTGAAAATTCTTAATAATTTTATCTTTGAATGTGTGTTTGGTAATGAAGTTTGGTGGAACAGTGGAGTTTTTGTTTATTTGTTGTTTGGTTTGGGTACCAGGGCACTTAACCCCTGGCCACATCCCCAGCCCTTTTTTATATTTTATTAGAGACAGGGCCTCGCTGAGTTGCTTAGGGCCTCACTAAGTTGCAGAGGCTTGCTTTGAACTCAATCCTCCTGCCTCAGCAAGATTCGGGTGGGTACTTGTGTCTCATGGCATCTTGGGGTGAAGCATGGCAGTGGCCCCTGGTGAGGAGGGGAACCCAGCAATCAGGTAGCCCCTGTGAGGGTCCATGCTGGTCCCTCAAGTATCCCTATGCCACATTTCCATTTTACACTGGGCCTCAAAAATTAATGCAGCTGAGTTGGTGTGGCAGTGCATGCCTGGAGTCCCAGCAACTGAGGCAGGAGGATGAAAGTTCAAGACTAACCTGGGCAACTTGAAACTCTGTCTCAAAACAAACTAAGAAAAAAAGAGCTGGGAGTGTAGCTCAATGGTAGATCATCCCTGAGTTCAGCCCCCCCCCCCAAAAAAAAGCAACTGACTGGCCCTGCCCATCCCTTCCCTTTTAAGTCCCATAAAGTATGTTCCACAGGGAGTAGATCTGAGACTCAGAGCCTGCCCTGCCCCAGGGGTCACGAACCCCATCATGGATATAGCCCCAGGCTTCTGAGGCCCTGGGTGACCTCCATCTACTGGGGCTGCTTCTACCTTGACCTCTCTATATATCTACTTGAACCAGATTCTACACTGTCTTTGCAGGGAATTCCGACTGTGGAGAAGGGAAGGAGGCCAGGAGAACATGGAGGTGGTGAATTCAAAACTCCCTCTGGTCTCTGGTCTCTGATCTCTGGTCCTGGGCCAGGTGTAGGTCAGCAGCCCAGAATCTAGGCAGGCCCGAGCAAGAGAAGACTCCCCACCCTGGGTCCCACTCCCTTCCAAGACGCTAGTTTTTCTGGTTGGGCCAGTTGGGGTTCCTCCCTGAAACTCTCCCACGCTGCTGGGGCCTCCTGCTCCCAAGTGCACAATAATAGTATTATCACTCTACCTGCCACCCATCGGTCCTCACTCCATCCCTCAGGAGGGAGGGTTTTAATACACATTCAGCAAAGGAAGGAGCTGAAGTTCAGAGAGGGAGATTGAATTGTTTGGGATCACACAGCAAGAAGGCAGGATGAAAATTTCAGTCTATTCAATTTTAGACTTTATACTTTGCCCAATGCCTCATTCCACCATAAAAGACATCTTTTCCTTTCTTATAAAAAGGATACCTTGGAGCTTCAGAGAGGTGAAGTGTCACACAGCAAACCAGATGTGGGGCTGGGATTCTGAGGCTAGGAACAGGGAGGCCAGAGCCAGTGCTGAATGACCTCATAAGAAGTCATTCACTTTCTCTCTCTGAGCTTCAGGAGGATGCCAAGTGACCCCACCTATATGACAAGGGTGCTTGTCATTGCCGGGAACCGGGGTACCTGACAGGGTCTGGAGAACAGAGACCTTAATGGACATAGCCGCTATTTTTCTTGCTATCAGACAGCAAGCCACCCAGATGGAGCCGAGTCTGCTGCTTCCCTTGCTGGGTGAACCTGAACCTCTCTGGGTCTTGGTTTCTTCCTCTGTGAAATGGGCACTTTACTCCACCCTTTAGTTAAGAATTCATGAAGAGGTTGCTTTAAAACAACGAGCTCCCTGCCTGGCACACAGTTGGAGTTCAAGAAGGGGGGCTGTTGGTAACTAATAATAATAACAACAACAATCTATTTATAGTACAAATAATAGTTAATTTTTTTTATACTGGGATGAACCCAGGGCATTTTACCACTGAGCTACCTCCCCAGCCCTTTTTATTTTTTATTTGGAGACAATGTCTCACTAAGTTCCTTCAAAATTGCAAAACTCCTGCCTCAGCTCCCTAATTCATTGGCATTTTAGGCGTGTGCCGCTGCACTTGGCTGTGGCTAATGCTTCTGTAGCACCTAGAACTAGGCACTTTACACATCTGACATCAGTCTCCACAGCAGCCATAAGGCAGGTACTGTTAAGGTCTTCATTTCACAGAGAAGGACACTGGGGCACACAGAGGCCAGCTTCACAGTTGGTAACCAGAGTGCCCGCATACCTAAGTGTTAGTCCTCAAGCCAGACTGCCTGAGTCTGACCACAGTGCCTCTCTCACTTCCTAGCTGTGTGACCCTGGGCAAGTTGGTTACCCTCTCTCTGCCTCAATTTCCCCATTTGTAAACTGACTATCTTTAAAAATTCTCATAGGGCTGTTGCAGGTAGAGTGTGAAACAGTGTAGAGCACATAGAAAAAGCTGACTAGGTGTGTTTTTGTCATTATTTCTGTTTATACAGGAAGTCGCTGAACATCAAGGCATTGGGACCACTTGCCCAAGGTCACACAGCAAATCAGAATTTGGGACTCAGACCCAAATCTGGCCAGCTCCAAAACTAAGAGCCATTGCAAAATATGATCTTAGGATCAACCCTAACAAGCAGCAACAGAGACCTTTGAGCACAGCCCTGGAGTCAAAGCCAAGTTCTCCCCTTCCAACCTCCACTTCTCACCCTCAGTTTCCTCATCTGTGAAATGGGGCTCAGTCCTCTCTTTGCAGAGCTGTTAAGGCAGTCAGGGAGGATTCATAGAGAGTACTCTGCACAGAGTAGGTGTTCAGTAAATGATCATTTAAAAGCCATACTTAAGGTGAGGATTAAATGTGACATTGTGTCCCCCGTTTAGAAGGAGGATCTCCCACCTGTTTCCTTTGCTAGCAGTTAAGGCCAAAGTGCACCATCCCTTGCCTCTGCCCATGTTCTCCACCAGGAACACACCTTTGGTGGAACAAGCTGAGTTTATTGCTCCCTGCAATGAGGGAGAATGCACATCATGGGAGACGTGAGAGGCATACCAGTAACAGGAAACTAGAAAAGACTCATTTTAGGATTTGGACTCACGGGTAGTGATTTTGAGGACGGTCCCAGGAAGTGGAGTTTGCTCTGGATTGGATACTGTCACCAAGTAGGGGTAATGCTATGATTGGGTATTTTTATTAATCTTATTTATGAGACAGGAAAGACAAAGCAAGGTTAAAGTCATAGCTTATATTAATATTAGTAATATAAACAGTCACTTGTATTAGGAAGGATACGAGGATGCTTAGTCATTTTGTGGTTTGCATAATGATCTTATTTGTTTCTGTGTTCAGACATGGGTATGGAGTGGTCTTGATTTTGTCTGCATCTTTCACAGTCACAGCGTGACCTTGGCTGATGCTGGTGTTTGCGAGATGATTTTATGTGCAATAGATCCCTCCACCTCTCTGTGAGTGCCAGGCCGACTCCAGCTCTTACGGGCTGTTTCTCTCCTTTTACCTAGGAGCTGCCTCATCTGTCCTCTGGTCTTCTCTTGCTTCTTTTAGATTCTTTTCCTTTTATTTTATTTTATCTTTACATGGAGGCCACAGTGGCCCCTTTTCTTTGCTTTAATTGAAGATAACTTTCCTTCAGCAAAGTACATAAAGATGTATCCATGTGGCTGCAAACACCTCTTGCTGGATCTTTCCATTCCTGGGTAGAAGCCCATTGGGTGAATGAA